TTATGATTCATTGTTGTGTTTTATTAAGGTCCCTACCCTTATCTAAGAAATATTTTATAAACCAAAATGTTTAATGCTGCTCGCCTATTATTCTTGATGAAATATTAAAATACACTCCATTATTGAGCCTAATCATATTGATTTTCACCTTTTAAAAAAGTAAGTAACACAACCAAGACCACCAGTCCTTAAATAAAAGTACTTCATAATTATCCCAGTAAGACATAGGCTAATGGATTTCCAAATTCCTCCCTAGGAGTTTATCTGCATCCGGACAACCAAATTTTAAGATTATTATATTTAAAGAATAGGCTTGCTAATACAAATATTATGTTCATTTATAACTTATTTCTCATTATCTATACATAAAATTGATTAAAATATGTGAATGCGACTATTATTACTGGGGGGGAGGGGGCGCCACAACCATGTTTGCTCCGGGCGCTGCCAACCCTAGGGATACCCCTGATATTTACCTTAGGCCCCATTTATGCTCAAGTTTGGGTTGCAACTAAGGCTTGGTGTGTCGCCCAAAACAAGCGACAAGCAAAATTTAAATTTCATTCTTTTGTACCGAATGTGATGCAATAGTGATGGTCTAAACCAGAAATTTCGAATCTCAAAACCGAAACCGAAACTTTAAAAAAATCAAATCCCGAATCTCAAAACCTAAACGCGAAACTTTTTTACTTAGCTGGTTACAAAGGTCAAGGTTACAAAAAATACACATAATCATAAAATGTTAAGTATGCAATCAAAACTGAAAGAGATCAATTCCTGACCATGACAAAACATAAATATGTGAATGTGACTGATAATCTTAAATCCCAAAAATAATTTTTTATAAACAACTAACAAAACAAATAATTAAACTTCTAACACCAACATAAACATGAATATTAAATTAATTAGAACATTTAGTGGTCAATATTTGTTTTTGCATTTAGTAAATATTGATGTGAAACTGAATTGTACCAGTTATAGTATTTAAGATACCTTTTGAAGTTCAGAATAAAATTTACTTAAAAATAAATTTAAGGCTAAAAAACAATAACAATGGCACAAAAAAATGTCAGTAGTTTCAAAAATAAAACTGCCAAAATCTTCAATTTCGAAACTTTTGAATCTTGAAACTTTGTGATCGAATCTCGAAACCGAAACTTTTCCGAAGTTTTCAGCTGATTAGACATAGGCGACTTACCCAACGGCCCTACGACGTGGTGGGGAAAGCTTCTAGCCAAGGGTCTGTCTCAGTGACCAGTGTGTCTCCAGCCATCCTATGCGTGGGGTGAGTTGTTAAGTGGAGTCGTGCAAATCAATTTGTAGTTTGCTGTGTTAGTTGGCAAAAATTTAATTTTCAACAAACCCTAAAGCCTATATCCCGCAGGGATATAATTGCCACGCGTTTGGAATTAAATTAAGTTAGGAAAAACTCGTTTCATCCTCACCAACTTATACATACCGCTCCCAAAATTTCACGTCTTAGTTCAACCAAAATTCAATTTGTCCGCATTTTGGAAAAAAACTCATTCGTATTATCTCTGATTCCAAGTGTTTTGTGTCTGACAACCTAGTAAGTAAGTAACTATATATTATTTATTGTATTAGTGTTATAATTACCTACTCTTAGTGGGTCGTACAAGCCGTTACATTTTATTTTATGTTTTGTCATTTCCTGTTCTTGAGCACATGTTTTCAGATTCAGATACTAATAAGTACATTTTGTATCCATTTTGATATAATTAATTGGTATTGATACATAGTCAGTGATTTATTTATTAAAATACATCACATAACGCCTAAGGAGTGCTTCTGCACGCAGGCAGGTAAATTGTCAAAATATAATAATAGTATAGAATAAAAGCAACATAATAATAAATATAGTAATAAAAATAATAGAATAAATTATTAACAGTATTGAAAAACAAGTATAACATAAGTTAGGTTATTAGCAAAGTTTACAAATAAGTTATATCAATGTCTATAAGTTATGTTTATTACAATCAGACTGATAAAAAATCCTCAATTCTGTAACAACAATTGTCTAACAGGTAAGACAGTAAGTGTAACAGGAACTTTTTAAATGATTCTACCTCTCTCAGTGATAAAGGAAGCTTATTATACAGTTTGAGACCCATATAAAAAGTACTCTTTTCATAAGCAGCTGATATATGTGTGGGGTACTGCAACACAGAGCTCATGGGCCTAAAGCTGTATTGGGAGTTACTTCTTTTTTCTTCATAAATAGAAAAATGTTTTTTGACAAAGATTAAAGTGTTGAATATATACAAAGAGGGCACAGGTAAAATCTTCATTCTTTTAAACAAATTTCTACAAGATGTTCTTGGATTAACTTGTGCAATAACTCTTATAATTCTCTTTTGTATTTTAAATATTTTTTTACTGTCAGTGGTGGCATTTCCCCAGAACTCAATACCATAGCCAATGTTAGAGTCCACATATGCAAAGTATACCATTATCTGAGTTTTTTCATCTATTAATTTTGAAAGCACTAAAGTAACGTGAAATGCTGCATTAAGCTTAGATTCCAATTGATTTATATGATCAGACCATGTTAGAGTTGAGTCTAATTTTATTCCTAAAAGATTGCAAGATTGAATTTTACTTAATGTGTCTTCTAACGGGTTATAGTCAATCTGTCTACTTTTTATGCTATTAGAATGGAAGTTCACACAATATGTTTTATTTCTGTTAAGTTTAAGATTATTGGCCAGAAACTATCCAGTCATAAGATCAAGATCATTTTTAATTTCAATTTTTAAAATATCAGGGTTTTTATTTTTTAATACTGCAGTAGTATCATCAGCATACATTACCAATTTTGACTTAAGATTTTGTTTCAAGAGGTCATCAACATAAATAAGAAACAACAACGGACCCATTATTGAACCCTGGGGAACACCTTCAGTGACATTTTTGAAGCCTTAATAGTTAAGATGAGTAATTCAGTTGAACTTTTTGTTTTCTACCCAACAAGTACGACTCCACCAAATCATAAGCTTTTTGTCTAATTCCATAAAACTGAAGTTTGTGCAATAAAATATTGTGATTGACACAGTCAAATGCCCTTGACAAATCACAGAAAATGCCAATGGCATACTGTGATCCATCAACGGCACTTGCTATGTAATTCAAGACCTCAAAGATAGCATCTGAAGTGTTACAACCCCTAAATCCAAACTGATTACTACAAGGAATGTTGATGGTTTCAAGATATGATACTAGTCACTAGTCTATTACAGATTAATTTTTCATAAACCTTGGAGAAAACTGGCAATAAGGATATTGGTCTGAAATTCTCAAGCTGTGTTTTATCTCCTTTTTTGTAGATTGGACAAACAATACTATATTTCAGTACATCTGGAAATATGCCTTTATTAATAGAAATGTCGATGATGTATGACAAAGGTTCAACAATGCTGTTTTTACAAATTTTTAAAATAAAAGAGGGAATGCCATTCCATCCTGAGGATCTGGAATTTTTCAATTCACTAATTATGGACCTAATCTTTAAATCTCGGTTTTTGTGTCTACTTTAGTTCTTGTCCTGTGACACTGACCGCTACATGAGAAGATCGTTTTATTTGGCTAAATGAAGGCGTAAACAGTAAAATAATAATAAACAAATTGTAAACAAAACATGACCTCTATAATCTACATTGCACCGTACACAAATAAAACTACAATTTGGGCTTAAGCTGTTCCATAAGTATGACAAATCTACTAAATATGTTTTGATCATAGATCAAACATTAAGCCCCTTAGAAGATTTGTCATCCTTGTTGAAAAGCTGAAGGCAATTTTATTGATATTCTATGCCGACTGTAGAGGTTGTGTTTTTTTTACAATATGTTTCTTGATTGTTATTTCAGTTATTTAAAACCTAATTTGACCAAATAAAACTATCTAATCATACAAAAAACTGGTCTCCTAGTTATCTAACCAAACCGTAAAGCACAAATCTTAAAATTACCCTAATATAATAGAAACAATATTTCGTTTACACTAGCGATCAGTGTCGACATACATGAACTAGACACGAAAAACAAGCTTCAAAATCAACAATGGGATGAGAAGTCTACTTATGTTGCAAAGTCTACGGTTTTATCTATGAAAAAGTATTTTTACACCGGTATTACACAATATTACAAAATAAATATTATACAATAGCTACCATGCATAGCATAAATAAGCAACACGAACAACATCAAGCTTATGATAATATATTTCAGCTTACGTAATTAAAGTAAAACAGCAGATACAAAAAGTTATTCTATTATTCAACAAAAAACCATTTCATATATAGGCTACATCTATTACGTATGTCGTCCAGGAGTAGAAAAAAATTGAAATACTTTTGGTTTTGCTACGTTGGCTGCACTTAACGCAACTTCTTATGGCCGAGTAGCGGCTGCTAGTCCATACGATAATTTGAGGACCATTGCACGATAATTTTTTTGTCTACTCAGGATCGATCAGCTGTCCCATCCACTATGACGTAATTCCCGCGCGTTATAAGCTATGCCACGTTTTTAAAATTATAAGCTATAGAACAAACGAGATATTATAAGCTGCAGCACATTTGAGCTATACCATTATAAGTTATGCCACATTTTAAGAAAACCGTTATAAGCTATGCCACATTTATACGATTATAAGCTATGGAACAATTTAAATTTTCCATTATAAGCTATGCCACATTTTCAAGATTATAAGCTATGCAACATATTCGCAATTATAAGCTATGACATTATAAGCTATGGCATCGTACCTTCCTTATATGGGAAATTCGCTAAAAGAAAGACGGCCGGATTCAAGGTACGATTCGCTAAAAGAAAGACGGCCGGATTCAACCGAAACTAAAAAAGGAAAACTGAACTGAGTGAAGAAGTGGAACTAAGTTGAGTACAATAGTCGTCGAAGGCAAAATCGTAGTCGAATCGAAACGAAACTCGAAAATGGTGGTGGTGGAAGGTGGAACATTTGAGGTTGAAGTTAAAATGAGCTTTAGTTTGTTTATTTCTAGTAATTTTTTCTCACAAAAATAGTGTATATTACGTGTGTCAACGAAAAATAAACTTATTCGATGTTTTCTCATAATATATTGAGATTGAGAGTATTTGGAGTAGTCTTGTAATAGCCTAGATTATGCAGGCTAGAGGCTATGTGTGAGGTTAACTTGGAATGTCAAGTACAACTTATTTTACTAGCCTATTTAAGACTTTAATTTCTTCACTTAATTTTAATGTACGTTCATTTTGACTGACATGAGTTGGCTAAAGAATTCTAACTTTGGAACTAGTATAGGCAAACTCAAGGGTACTTCCCCTCCCAAAGAATGTGACCCATCTGCAATCTATGAAAGTTTTAAAAAACATTGGCAACAGACAAATGATATCATAGAAAAGACGGAGGTTAGTATTTGATTTTTCTGACTAAACTTAGGCATATTTAGACTTATGGTTTGGAAAATACTAATATTCATATAACTTAGGCCTACTCAATTCCTATCACTAAGTTAAGTTTAACTTAACTTACCTATAAACTGTAAGGTTAAATCTGAGCAGTAATAGCCTACCTAAGGTCGAGGGTTACTAGGCCTACCTAGGTGAGACATTCATGGTTCGACCATTGATAAAACATACTCCCTAAGTAGATTTATCATTCTCGTAGGATAAGTTAGCTGAGGCCAATTTTATTGTTCCTCTGTCTGGTAGAGGTAGTTTTTTGTTATCTTACAATTTGTTTCTTGTTATTTCAGTCATTAAACGCCTAAGTCATTTTAACCCTCGAGCGGGCGCTCGTGGAGTTTTCCACCACACTTGTAGTTTTTTGTTAAAATTTGTGTTCCTGTTTTATATTAGATTGGTGCCACTATGGATTGTTTAGAAAAGGAGGAATTACGAGGATGCTTGATCGTGTTGAAAGGAAAGAAAGAATAGAAGAATAACAACCAAAACGAGATTTTGATTAGGATATACTGTAACTCATTTAGTTGAGACTTCATTTATGTACTTTAAGTACATAACTTATCTTTTTTGTTAATGTATTTTTAACTTAGTATTAATTGTTTAGTACGCATAACCAAACTTCACGATTGATAGTTTATTATCTACTGTAGGCTATTTGTTTATATATTATTAGCCTATATTGTTTATAGGCCTATTATACACATAGAATTTGACAAACTGTGTGTATATTTTACACATATGAAAATATAAACATATTTAAATGTATTATTTCATTTATAATGATTATCAAATACATTTTGTTTACATAATATATATGTATAGTTGCATTATTGCGGAACAAAACTGCACAAGCGCCCTCTCTCGTAACACTGACACTGATACCTTTATAGGTCCCACTAAAAAAATGGTCAATATGTTTATTTGAAATATTACTCATATTTAGTAGAACAAATAATGTTGCTAAGAATAATACCCCCGCTGCAGCAAACCTGTCGACTAAGCAAATTTCCATTTGCCTGGATTGATTTTCAATTAATCTATTAAATTAACATTCATGTTTAACGAGTACCTAGATTAGCTGCTACAGGGAAACTAATAAAGTGTGTTTTTTACTAACATATCAATAGCTTAGTATGAAATAAATAAATCCGCCAGGTTTCATCTAAATATATCCATAAACAAGCAAACTATAACATTTGAGAAAATTCAGTAGCTTTTTGATTGTTCGAAACTGGACCCAGCTGTTCCTGATCATTGGGCTTTAAAAAAATGATCCTGGCTAATGAGACAGCTGATCTTAGTAACAAAGCTACACAGATCATCCCACACCATTTTACAGCCATCCTTCTCTCTTATTTGGGTTAAAATACGCACCTAGGTGGCGTTGCCATCTCAATGATTGATAGATAGCCTAATTGATAATTGATTTTACAATATTCTCCTTAAGAATAACATGGGAATTTTAAATTAACAATTTTTGTAATTTTCTCCGTAACCAATCACCTTACAAAACACTTTGTTATACTAAATTATTTGTGTTTTTTAAACTTTTTAAAAAGGTCTGGAGAAAAATTTATAATTTTTTTAAGGGTAAAATGAGAAAAACCCATTTTTACCCCATAAAACCGTTAAACCCCGTTGCCATGGTCCGATCATGCTGGTTCAGATATATATATATCAAATTTGAACAAATGGTGTTTTTGGCCTCTAGGGACATCAAAATGAAAAAGTAAATCGGTCCCGGGCCTAGGTCTTACTATGAGACCTACGGTAATAGCTACTTCCCTTTAGGGAAATTCGCTAAAATTAGGTTCCTGAATAGGTTATTCACACATACAATATTGCGTTGTAACAACAAGTAAAATGGGTGAAATGTTTGCTATTTAGTGTTGCAGAATAAAACTCCACATGCGTCCGTTTCTGTATTACTGGTGAAGCGCCTGCTCCGGGGTTAAAGCTATCACACACACAAGGTTCATCTACACGCAAATTGAACGTGTAAGGCAGCATACAATTTTTGGATTTTTCCAAAACTTTGCTGAAAGTTTAAAATCGTTCTGCTTTGGGAAATTAAAATATTAAACTTACAGAATGAAGTATTATGTTTACTATTATAATTTTCGTTTTGTTACTATTTATTTTCAGCCCTTGAAGAACCCTCCAAAAACAGATGATATTCTTGGTGTTGTGAATCACTTGGATCATATGGTCACTCTCTTGGTAATCGAAATGCGATCAAGTTATGAAACAAATCCTTGCCTTGAATTTCTACTGAGTGAAAATTTATTGGACAAATTATTCCAATGGAGCACACAAACTGGAAGGTAATGATTGACAATATTTTGTCATCTTTGTTAATCATTTAGCCTATCCCGGACATTAAAAATAATGTTAAATGATGCTATTATTGAATTAAATATTCATTACCGGTATTGCTAGACAATTTTACAAATAATACATGTAGGTTAGCATAAGGCCATACATAATCCCTGACTTGACGTCATTTGATGCTCTTTAGTCTTTGATAAATCATGTTTTTTAAAATTTTAGAACTCACATTTGTAAAGGCGGATTTACCATAAGGCACACTATAGGCACGTGCCTAGGGGCGCCTTCCATTGAGGGGCCCAGTGGTGGTTAGGCTGCGGCCACATGGGTGTTTTCTCATGCGAAAATGCAGCTTGAAAACAAACATTAAAGTAGGTAGCATTGAAGCGAATAGGACAGAATATATTGAATGGTTTAGAGTGCTATTTCTATGAGTGTAGGCCTAATAGGTCCCTTATATATCATAAACCACCTTTTTTTAAAATATAAATTGGACTGTGAAGTTTACACATTGAAATTGTTCACTTAGCATTAGGTACATTTTTAAGTTATCATTTGCTGTAGAATTGCTGCACTTAAAGAGTCCTTGAAAGCTAGCGGCCATCTTGGATGGTTTAAAACAGCCGCTGAAGAGCTATTTACAATCTCAAAATATTTTTTTTCCAATCACTAGAGTGATAGTAATTGAATTACCTAGTAATCTGTGGGATCAGAAATGTTCCTTTTTAGTTTTGAATTGTTCTCCAAGGGAGTCCATGGAAGATAACTGCCATCTTGTATTTGCCCACCATAAGATCAAAGATAAGTTCGTTTATTTCAAACAGCGGCTGAAGATATGAATATATATATATTGCAGTTATCTATTATATTATTAAAGTGATACAATCAAATTTTATGTAAACGGTTAAGGTAATTTACCAAATAAAAATATAGGCATATGGCACATCAAAATGAAGCTTAGAGTGTGTAGATATACCGAAAAGTATTGATATGGACGAATTTCCTAAGGGCTCTGACACACAGGCTGATTTCCAAAGGGCTACGCCTGGCATGCTTGCAATGTTCAAATGATTTAATTTAATTTAGTTAATAAAACTGTTTGTTTATTTACTCGAAAAAGGTGTTCGCTTTATGTAGATTGAGGAGGGTTTTGTTTGGTTTTAAAGTGAGGTTATCACTTTAATAATATAATAGATTGACTAAAATTGAAGAATTATGGTAAAACATGTCATTCATGAAGAATAAATATGAAGCAATTGATGCTATTGCTACACTATATTAATTTAAGGTAGCCTATGTTGATTTAAGTACGTTTATGTATCAAAAGTAGCGGTGGGGCACACGGAAGATTTCTCAGGTGCCGTTTGACGTCACTAACTGCTGACGTCACTAGCTGCTGCGTCTGAAGAAACAGACAATTTTATAATTTTTCTATTATTAAATTAAACTCATAACCTAACCAAACTAACCAAATGTGCTGATAATGAAAAAAATTGAATGAAGGTTTACTAATCTAAAAAATAGTTTTGTTCATAAAATAAAATTATAAATGCCTAAAATTCAATTTTATAATTTTTCTATTATAAAATTAAAACGTCATAACCTAACCAAACCAACCAAACTTGCTGATATGAAAAAATTGTTGACAAAAAGTTAGTGCTACCTACCAGCGGGATTCGAACCCGATACATTCGGATTATCAGCCCGACACGCTATCCACTACACCACCGAGGCCGATGGCTCAAATCCGTATTGTTGCGGTATTGGTGTTCCCTCAAAGTGACGTCAGCAGTTAGTGACGTCAAACGGCACCTGAGAAATCTTCCATGTGCCGTTTTGCAAAAGTAGGGGTTTGAAAGTAAGTAGGTTTAGGCTTTAAATCAGTTTATAATTTCAAACTAAATCATGGAGTTGTTGTATTTTACAACACACATCAGCACCACTTTAATAGCTCTCTAGGTCACATTTTCTTCCCGTTGCAAAGCACGGGTATAGCAGCTTGTCTCAATATATTTTTCAAACACCAGAGTAATTGTAATTTAAATATCTAGTAAACTGTGAGATTAGAAATTTTCTTTGTAGTTCTTTTAATTATTTTTTTTGAAAAATTCGTAATTTACTTATTATGTAAACTCATATTTTACTAACAGAAAAAGAAGGGAAATAAAAGACTGATTGAATAACAAAAGTTATATAAGTTTTGTAAATTTGTATTTCTTGGGAATAAATAAATATAATATCTAGGCTTCAAGGACTCTAAAGTTCTTAACAATGAAGTCCAGATTAATGAGAGCTAAAAAATAACAAACAGCTAAACCTACTACAGTAGACTCCCTCTAGTTCGGCCACCTCGGGACCGGACCACTGGCCGAACTACGAAACGGCCGGACTAACCGGATTTTGTGCATTTTACATAACCAAAATACAAATTATAGTATTGCGCAATCGTGATATGTTAAGTCAATAACCTTGGTTCAGTAAAAAAAACTGAAACGTTTAAAATCACGCTTACTCAATCAAAACAAAAATTACACAACACTGTACGTACAGAAATAAATCACGTAAAGAACAGAACAATAGAAAGTCTAGTACTGCAAGCTACCGTAGTCAGCATAGGCTACTACTAAATGTTGTTTCAGACCATAAGAATGTCGATAAAAACATTAGACAGTTCATAAAACAGCATAAAATTATAGTACTTAATCTTAAAGATAATAAGGACAGTCGTAAAATATGATAAAGATAACAATGGATGACGAAAAACACCGCTTCTTTGTTGTTGCTTCTTTCTTCTTTGTTCTTCTATTCTTTCTTTGCCTCTTTGGTTTCTCTTCATCCACACATTCAACAAGTTGCCATAGTTACTAATCACCCAATCACAAACTGTTGTGAGATAGCAAGCAAGTGCACAGCAGAAATCAGTTTGTGTGAGCAGATGACTGTCAGTGCAAGCGTATAGCTTGACCTTGAAGCTAACGATGGCTATTTCTTTGTTTTGCTTTAATTTATTTTTGTCAAATAAACCGTGGTGTTTCAAAAACAATAATGGGGGAACCTACTGCATAAAAAAGTGGTCCGAAATATTTAATTATACACTGCATTTCAACATATTAGACCGAAGAAAAATTATTTATAAAAAATGTTCTTGGTATTTTTGAGGTTATGTAACATAGTTTTAAATAGGTAATATCTGTAATATGCAACAATTCACCCATAGAAGCACCCGTAAACTAAACTGACATGAATTGTTTACTTCTATGGCCGGAAACTAAACATTCAAGTTCAATCCTGTCGAAGGTCATTCACCTGTGACATATGACTTGTCCCCCTGAGACCGGGCCGGACCATCCGGCGGCCGATCCAACCGAAGCCGAACTAGAGGGAGTCTACTGTATCTTAAAATACTCTTCAGCTCTTATCATTGGTTTAGAGAAAAATTGTTGTGAACTAAGAGCAACGTAATTTATTTTTTTGAGTTGCTGTGCAATTCTTCAAATTATATCCGTCTCTATTCCAGATACGGAAATGCTCTCAAGTTAGAACAGATTAGGCTTTACGAAGCTCTCATCAGCCACTCCCAAGTGCAGCTGTTGATACACGAGTCGTTCCATCGTCCGCTACAAGCCCTCCTTGCATCCTGCGTCAGCCAGCTGTTCTCAGTAGAGATAGAGAAGAGGCTGGTAGTACTGTTAAACCAGCTGTGTGTCTTACTGGTTCAGCACAACCAACTGTTAAGCTTATTCTTTCACGAGCCCTCAGAAGGGCAGCCGTCAAGGTAAATTCTTAATGGAAACTTATATTAGTTTAAAAGCTGATAGTTATGATAAAAAAATATATTTTTTTATAGCTGAGTAGGCAACTGTAGTGATGATTAAAACACAAATTGAATATGTAGAAAATTAGTCTTATTTCCTAAAACTCTAATTATTAAACCCATTAAGGCCTAGTACAAACCAAAAGCAACCGGTGTTATCAACGCAACTGCAACTCAACTAACTAACTGGAGTTTCTCTTAGATTACACAGTGTGTATAAACAAAGCCCAAGTTGATAAATCGTTCAGTCACTTGTACCATGAGTGTGTCTTCGTCCTAGGAGGAGCCAGTTGAACAACTGTGTAACTGGCGTCAACCAAGTTTACAGCATGTAACCTGAGTTGCTCAGTCAAGTGACCGTTGAATCACCGTTGCATCACAGTTGCTTTGGTATAGACAGGTCCATTAAACTTCTTGTGTTATTCATATGCAACTCAAGTTTACATTGCGTTGCTATCACTGGTAGCTTTTGGTATGGCCTTAATGTTCTAAACGCTTTAGTTAGGTTTGTACAGGTTCAGAGTCTCATTGCCTGAGGCTGCAAAATTTCAGTTTTTATCCTACTGCTTCCCTGCATATGGCAACAGCATTTCTGGAGAAGACGTGTCGGCTGCAACGTCTGCAAAACTCCGCAATCTGTTCCATTTTCTGTACAAAATTTTGATCATGTCTCTCCCTTTTGGGAATTAGCTAGTCTGCTTTCTGTTGAAGCCATGTGCATGACCAACAGAGTGTTGTCTCTTTGCAACCCAACTATTTACGCGAAAGGCATTCCCTCGCGACGAGATTTCCCCGCGCAGGACACGTCATGGTGGGAGATAAGAGCTTGGGAGGAAGAGCTTCTCATTGTACAATGGTCCACCCGATGGCCTAAAGGTTGTTGCATCTAGCAAAACATTTAAAGGAAAACTAAAGATATGTTTTTAAAATATTGTTAAGTATTGTCTAAGTGTATAACGGCCAAATTGTAGAATAAGATATCTAGTATAGTGATGAAAGTTGTTCTGAAAAGCTGGTCTACCAGAAAAACGCTTAGGCTAATAAATACATTTTTGTTTATTTATTTCAATTTTATGGTAGGTATGTGTGTGTTTGTGGAAAAGATTAATGAAAATAATTGGCAAATAATCTATGTAGGCTATATAAAATCCAATGTATGTCTGATTTTCGTATGTTTGTCCTTTATGCGTTACCAAACCGGTCATCCGATCGTGATGAAACTTTAAGAAGTTTTTCTATACACTCCCAGGAAAGTTTCTGTCCCATTCCCATTCTTGAACTCCCTTTGGGCTCTGTCCATGTGGCTCTGGTATTTTCCATGTTTACCTTATGGGTATTTATGTAAAAAAAATAATAATATTTACAGCTGTTTCAAAGAATAAAACAATGATTGGATTCGTTGATGTTGAATAGCATTAAAAAGTTTCAAGACTTAACAACAGAGTATAGCACTATTATTTTTTTCTCCCTGTTGCAAAGTACAGGTTTCAGCAGGGATTGGTAAAATATTAGCTACACACATTCATTGTTTAAATTTATTCCCATTGTCAATATGCTGTGTAAAACTCTTTCTAACTTCCTTTTACATAGGTTCACCATCTTCTCTCTCTTGATTCACTTTGTTCACCGTGACGGAGCGCTCGGCCAGCAAGCCAGAGATGCCCTACTGCTGTGCATGGTGTTGTCCAAGACTAATCCTCCTATCGCAGAGTTCATCGCTCATCAATCCACTGTTTGTCCGGTAAGTTTCAATACTTTGGACTTGTATTCGGACTAGGTGCAACTAATTTACTTTCAAATAGAACTTAGTTGAATAAGCCACTTTCTTAACTTGGTCCTAGAATGGCAAATCATCGGAAATTGCGACTGTTATTAGCTTTGAACGCCTGTAATACTTTGCAATTGCTCGAATTTGAGCAACATGCGCACTAGTTTATCTTATTTGCAATAAAATTAATTAAGCCATGCATGTTGCATATTTATATTGTATCAATCATCAAGAAACTCTATGTAAAATGGTGTATTGCCGTGTAAATTAAATTACAAATTAAATTAAAATTAAAAGACATTGAGAAAATTCTAAGTAATCACAGAGACATCATCATTGTTATCCGCTTTTTATCCAAATAGTGAACATCTTAATACTTTAATATTTTATTATGAAATTGCAACCTTACGAATGTAGGTATTTAAAGCTAAGTATGAATGGAGATGAGTGTAGGGGGAGTTGCGTGATCTTGTAGTCTTTTGTTAGTGACTAAGGCCGACATGCTCCTTAGACACAGCAGTTAATAAATAGCTCATACAGCCAATGGCAACTAAGGGACCTACAGTTTATAGTGTAATCCGAACCACATTTTGCCTTGTAGTTAACGAATTGGTCTAATTATCAGGATAGCACTGCTGATCATCGTAGTACTTACTAGTCCGGACGTTATTCCACACCGAGTAGTATCACATCCTCAGTGTATGCCTATAAATATCCACAATTCGTGACCTATCAGCTGGATTACAGGACGATGCCACCATCCCAGTCTCCTACAGTAGCAGAGACATCATCATCGTCTTGCTCAATTGAAGCGAAGTCAGTAATTATCGATTGCACTTTTTTACAGAGGCTTTCCAAATCTGGATAATGTTGCGAGGACAAAATTCTATCATACATATATGTGCACTAAAGCAAACATATTCCATAGGCCTACTTATCTTTTATTCGTACATACCCTCTAACCGCCTAATCATTTTTGTCCGCTAGGTGCTGGCCACGGGGCTTAGTGGGCTCTACTCAGCACTGCCTCGCAAGCTTGCCATCTCTACAGAAGACTGGTACCGCTTCACACCAGACGACGTCAACGAGATACCCGAGTTAGTAGCATTCATGAACAACTTAGAATTCTGTAATGCCGTCGTGCAAGTAGCCGATTCATCAGTGCGCAATCAGCTGCTTGAGTACATCTATCAAGGCTTTCTGGTCCCGGTGATGGGGCCAGCCTTATTGCAGGTACTGTATTCTTTTCTTTCATTAGGAATTATTTTTATTAAACAGGGAGTGTTGTGTTCAAAATCAATGAATGGTTCTACTGAATGGTATTTCAGTACTTGGGAATAATTATTTTCCCCATTGTGTTTAAGGCTAGAAACTTATTTGTAGTTTCTAAAGTTCTAATTATTATAAATACTTAAAAGGCCCGGGAGGAGGTTCAATTTAATCGGTGGTGTAAGATCATGGCTTCTTGCTCGGTCATCTCTGACTCAGGTGTGATTAAGGGGAACGGATAACAAGAACCAGGTGGTCTGATGGAATAATTTTGTAAAAAGATGAAAAAAAACCTTAACATCATTTGATGGCGAAAAACCTGACCATTGTAAACATAGTTAAAATTCACTACAAATTACAAAATTATCAAGTAATCAATTTCCACTAATGATCTTTACCATGGCTAATATGAGACGAATAACGTTTTTGTACCGTATGTAATAAAAATAAACTAAATGGTTGTTTGAAGAGTAAATAAATACAGTAGACTCCCGATTATCCACGATAATAAGTGTTTGAGTGATTGTGGATAATTCAAACCTAACCTTAAATGCACTGGAAATAACTAACATTGACTTAGATTAAAAAGTCATCTTTGAATATAAGTAAGGGTAATAATAAAACGTAACACTGTAGATACCTTTAAAATTTGTTTTGCACAATGTGTTACTACAAAACAAATAGTTTTGTGAAGCCTATGTATAGCCCAAGTTGTAACAAAAACTAAATCACAAACGGAATGCAACATATCGGTTCTGTAAATGGTGAATGATGACTCATCTGTGGTCGATGAAGTAAACAACCGCAACTCTATAATCTGCCGGTGAGATGATGGGCCTAAAGTTCACAGTTCTGCAAGTTTTTAGGGCCATGTATTTTGGATTTTTTAAGATCAAATATTAGGAAATGTGTTTGGTTTCAGTGTTGCAAATTGAAGGTAAACTTAAGTTAAAGAGCTGCTTCATTAGATTGTTTTACTACAGAAATGGCTATGTTATTGATTTTGGACGCAACAACACACACAATAGTAGGCTACTTACTTGTTTTTAAGTTTTGTTTAAACGATTGTCTCTTTTTCAAAGTTCTGAGTAGAATTTTGGAAGTTTATTTGTACACATTTTGACCATTATAATATTTCATTTTGTTTATTTCAATTACAAACGATTGATTATTTTGCTATGTCTTCATATTTTAATTCTTACCTTACAATTCTAATTGTTATTTTATAAATAAACACTAACAAAGTCTAAAATGTATTTGCTGAAAGCTACTATTAAAAAGTTCTATGTGTACATAATATTATTATATGTGAGCATTATTTTATTTTGCGCTCTCTAGAAATCGCTTAAATTGTTTAACTGTTGGTGTTTTTGTTCACGCTTCATTACAAGTCTTAGCACTAAAGCACAATTTGCATATTTTTTATTTTATTTTTGTTACAGTTAAACACTTCATTGTATGAAGTTCTTAGACTTTGCACCTAAATTATCTCAGTTAAAGGTTAGGAATGCATTATGATGCTATAGTTCGGCCGCTTAGAAAGCGACCTCCTCTAACATTGGTTTAGCATTAGCGCGCAGGTCGTTTTCTAAGGGGCCGAACTATAACTTGTATTTCAGGTATATTTTAAAAGTTAAACAGCTGATCATGGTTTTATTTAAGGAAGGAGTTCAGCTGGATTATCTGAGAAAATCCAATGTAGTCAAATGTAGTCAGTCCACTAGTCCAGGGCTTATAGCTACATAATGAAAGGTCACATAATATAACGTCGGTATTTTGTCCAAATTTTACGGTCTAGTAAAAATACCAGTATTATATTATGTGACCTTTTATTGTTTATCTATTAACCCATAGACTAATTATTGGAGTCGTAACACCAGCCTTCAAAACCGAAGAGTGCTAGTTCGACCCTGGAACCTACTGCTATTTTTTACTAGACTGTAAAATGACAAAGTGTAAATAAAAAAATAAAAAAACATCTAATGACACTTAAGAAACTAAATATGTAGACTATGTACTTAGTCAAAAGAAGGGGCACCATTGTTATCTACCATAATATTTTGATGGTGTTTGGAGAAAAAATTATCAGTATTTAAATATATATATTTCAAATATTATTAGACGCCTTTTCATCTACACTCATTAAGTATAATGTCACGTACCATGCTGATTAAGAGGTTAATTAAATATATTTTTTAATAAACAGACTACTTTTCTCAAAGCTAGCTGAACTCCTATCCTTTGTGTGCAGCAACTGGTATTTGTCATTAAGGTAATTGTTTGTGACACTGTGATTGGTCGGTGGTTGTCTAGGAGACGGCAGACGACGGTGGTGGTGGGTCGTTGTCTCTCTCCCCCCTACAGCTGGTCAGTACAAGTCTGTACCCCATCCTGCATGTATAACCTAACCTCATCTTCACCAACAACTGTCTGTGACTTCTGCTGGCTCAATACTCAAACAATAGGTTAAGGATTGGTAATGATGATACTACACAGCTGCAGATGTAACATAGGGCGCAAGAGCGTAGGTATTTAGGATTGTTTGTCATGTGTTTACCTGAATGGGAAAGAGGATAGCAGCTAGGTTACCTTGGCAAAGCACAGGTGTGCCATAGAACATACAACACACATATACAATATTTCGTCCCTTGGGGGACTTTGTCATTTGTAGAAAAAGTTATAGAGCGTTACAAAATGGATGTTGCCAGCGATGCAGGGTTGCCACATATCACTAGTTTATTTACAACTATGTACAAAACAATTTATGTAACCAACTCCAGAACTTTTCCCAACCTCAAACCAAGATAAACCTGTCCTAACAGCTAGCTAAATGCATAACAGGCCTAGTGTATGTATACTTATATGTGTGTGTGTGTTTATAAATTTATGTTTAGTTGTTAAATAAACTAGTTATACAACACTACATATTTGGTAACAGCGATGACATCAGCCATTTGGTAAACTCTATCGCTTTCTCTACACTTACAAAGTGCCCCAGGGGAAAAGTGTCCCAGGGGACGAAATATTGTGTGTTTTGTGTGTTTGCTGTATTTGCTATGGCCTACCTGTACTTCTTCCAAAGTAACCTAGCTGCTCTTTATCCAACAATTTAAAATCCTGGTCTAGAGCCTTTCCTTAAAGTAAACTGAATGGGAAAGAGCGTGTCCTGCACAAGAAATACATAAATCTTACACTAAAACACACAAGTTAGCATATTTCACTGTTACTCATCCGGAAGGCATTTTCTTTCCACTTCTTGGCAGCCACTGGACCTAAAGACTTATATCTTACAAATTCAAGCCTTCCTGGTTTCTAAATTATGTCATTGACAGTAAAATATTCTGACTTCTTTGTATTGTGTATAAAGTTAAGTGTTTCTTGTGCTGGGGTACAATATTTTCGGTCCCGGTAAAATTGTTAATCTAAAAAAAATTACTATTAAGAATGGGGAACGAGCTGGTTTTGTGGTGTGAGGGACTTTGGTCCCTGATGTTCCGGGTTCAAATCCCGTCAAATCACCTATGGATTTTATCTATGTGATAATGCTGCACTACTAGATTTAACCTGAAACAATGTTAAACACGGTTCCGTGCTGGAGTCTATTGTCTTATGACAAAAATAAATAAATAAACTGTTTTAAGAATGCAACATAAGAGCACAAGGGCCTAGGTTTTAAGTAATATTCTTTGGTTGGTTACTTTGTCAGGATAGCTTTGACACTCTTCCCAATTCATACCTTCCGTAGTTAAAAATGCTGTCAGTGACAGTGAAATCCTCTTACTTTTGAGAATAGTGTAAAATATCATGTTTTTCTTGTGCCATAGTGGACTTTTTCCGATTCCGTCAATTATTCATTGTTTGATTATAAAGGCCTTTCAACCACCGCTCAAAATGTGATCATATTGGTTTGTACCTTGCCAATGGATAAGTGTATTTTGATTGATGAGGGTGTGAAGTGATCTAGTTCAACTTTTATACTAAAACTGTAAAATGGTTAGTGGTTACTGTTATTAGGTGTACCATATACGGTAAAATACTAAATACTAATAAATTGGGAATTTTCACAATTTTATCATAGCTGAAACTGGGCAGTATTTTTGTTCTATAAAATTTAAATAAAAATAAAAACATAAAGCCCAATCTTGCTAAACAAGAGAGTTGTTTCACTAAATGTAGGAAAAACTTCACCTGGTTTTAATAAAATAAGTAACTTAAACATAATAGATAATACCACCTCTACCTATGTCATCACTAAATCAATTCACAAGTACTACCCTATTCAGTTTAGAAAACTTCTTTAAATTTTCAAAGTTGTTTTTACTTTTCAGTTGCTAACCTTCTACTCCCACTTGAGAGAAAATATTCGAGAGGTATTTTGTGTTTGAATGATTTGCGTGAGATTTTACTTGAAAGTTTCTGTTTTGTGTGACATTTTAACACAAATGCTAAAATAGCTGAATTTTAAAACTTAAAACCCCCAGCTTTTTTAATATTTTAGTTTTTAGGGTCAAAACTTAAAGCTCTATATACACTAATCCATACCGTTGCACTGGGACCCAAATATGTAAATTTTCTGTACATTTATTACAAATAGTTTGTTCAAATTTAAAGGTTTTCACTTTGCGAATAAATGGTGGAGGTTTATAGTGATATGATGTCTAGCATGACATATTTAAACCATGATAGCAATGTTATTTTGTTCAGATGGTGATTGGTTCAGTGCTGGGTCCAATTTGATATATTAGTCAAATCCCTACTAATTTTACAGAAAAAAATTATTAGAATATTAACCAAATCAAGAAGGAGAAAATCATGTAAAAACCTGTTTAAAAATCTTAGAATTCACACCATTTTTGGATTATACATAAATGAAATTCTAAATTGGATACATAACACTAAGGAAAATTTGTCAGATGTAGTCAAATTTACACATAATTATAATACAAGGAATAAATATAATTTCAGATTACCACATCACAAATTGACGACTTTTAGGAACAGCCCTCAATATATGGGACTTAGATTGTACAATGAATTACCCCTGTATCTTAAAAATTTAAATGCTACTCAATTCAAAGATAAAATAAAAGATAAAATAATTGAGAAAGCCTACTATTCACTTGAAGAATTTTTGGAGAACCCTATAATGTAGATAAAAATTCTCTGATATCCTACATGAGTTTATTTTAATTATTTTAACTATTAATTTTACTATAAAATACATCACTATGACGAAACACCTGTTCTTATGTATGAAATGTACTTTATAAAGAACGTTTTGTGTAAATAAAATATGTCTTATGTCTTATTCTCTTCACTAGTGATGATGGCCCATATCATACGAGCGCTAGCCGCCATGTTGATGCCCCTCCAACCCGGCAAAGGGGTTCTTATGGAGCTAGTCATACGGACGTTAATGCTGTCAGCGAGTCCGCGTTAGCCAGATGCTGAGCACTGTCAGCACGGACGGTTGCATTAGCAACGCGGTGCTAGTGACTGGGGGACCCTGTCATACGTAGCGCTAGCGTCAGCAAGACGCATTTGCCACTCTACTGGCAGAACAACTGGAAGACCTTTTAGGAGTGATCATCATATTTGACACAGAAAAATGCATCTTAGTCGTTCTCATTTTCTCACACACGGCACGAAGGAGCTCGTCAAAAGAAACTGACATTCGATAGTATCGAAAGAATATCTCTTCATACTTCCCGTGTTCCTGGAACATTAGATGTAACCGTCCTGTCCACCAAACATGAAAAAAGCACAGGATGAGTCTTGGATCCCATGGTCTTGGATTCTTCCGATAATACTCCACAATAATATACAAAAAACTTGCACAATCTAACTGGATGGTGTCCATCTTGGAAATGAAATAATTGCCGCTACAGCAAATTTGCCCAGAAGACGCTACGTTTTACAGGCACCCGGCAATTTCCGTCACGTATGGTGTGGACTTTTGGGGGCATTATTTCGATGGCATCTGCACGACATTAGCGCTCGTATGATATGAGCCTAAGAGTTTCAGATCACTTCTCCGGATCTGATTACCAAAATATCAAATCCCAGATCTCAAATTAAATTACAATGTTTATAAACAAATAATAGCCCTATAGAATCTACTATCAAAAAAAAATCAAAATCAAAATAGCATTTATTCCGCAAAAATATTTACAAATTACAAATCATGTTAGTACCATACAGAAATGTTTACAATATTGTTTGGTATTTTAATAATATAAAATTTAATATAAACATAAACATATAAAAAAGCTTTTTAAATTAGCGAAATATCTTCCACAAAGAAGGAATACCTCTGTGTGTGGAAGAGAGTCGTATTGTATATATTTATAAAATTTTTTTAAGCTAAGTGATGAAGGAAAAAAAAGTTATTTTAGAAAAAAAATGATTTTGGAATAATAGATTCGCTGGAGGACTATGGAAATTGATTTTCACTATGATTCACTTTATTTTGAATCAATAACAAAACTGAAATGTTAATGTATTTTCAAAACTGTTTACTTTACAATCTAAGGGTTGTGATAGTCTTCTTGTGATCGCATTTAAAAATCGATTGTCTGGGTAGGAGAGTGATTATAGTGCTCGTTTTTTTTTCCTGTTATTGTTGAGCACAATTTTTGTATACATACTTTTGAGAAGCACAAATTAAGCACTAAATCATGGATTTGTTTTTATAATTTTTTAATTTATATTCATTATGGTGGGGTACTTCACACACTATTTATTTTTCCAATCCATTACACAAAATCATCCCATAAGCGTGTATCCCCTGTACCTTACTTCTCTGTGATACAGTCCATTCTAGTCACCAACCTGTTTAGCCAAAATTAATAAATTTGGTAGACACTCTAACGTACATCTGTAACCTTCACAAATGTCATAACATACCAAAGAACACTAATTCTCTATACGTTATATTTTGTCTTGTCTTCTTGTGGGGTTTTTGTAAGCTGTAAAATATATTTTGTTTCTACCTGTGTGCTTCTTTATGTTCTAGCAAAGATTTTTCTTAATGTGTAATACCTCTTAACCTTGATTTATTGAAGTGCATGTTGTAAAATTTGTATTATAACCTGTTTCACCTAATTTGTAATGTTACTGCATTGTATTTTTAGTTTGGATGTGTTTTCAAAGGTGAAATTACATATCTTGTATACTCTGAAGTCTTTAAGTAACCTGTTAAGTATATTTTTATGTTAGATTTTGTGTTTTTGGCGTACAACCTATTAAGTATTTTTTATATATCAATAGTGTTTTATAAAATAGCGTTAATACAAAATGAATGAATTCTTATTCATATATTCTTACTTAATATTTTCCTTTACACCTTACTTTTTCCTCTTAGATAGATATTGAAGTATAGTTTTTGATATTTCTTTGGTCTATTCATTTGCAAGGCTTTTTTTTTGTAAATTATTTCATTGGAAGTAAGGCTTTTACTGCCACTAGCACTTGACATTGTAAACTAGGTCTTCTGTGTATGTACTGTTGACAAGTCCAATTCTTCGTTTGTGACACGGCCTTACCTTAAAGACCTAGTTTTTTGGTGTAAGTGTTAAGTTGTTGAACTTGTGCTGGTTGTGGTGTTTTTTGTAGTTTGAGTTTTTCCTTATTTAATTTCACAATTGTTTCTCCGCAGAGTACAGAAGAGGAACTCACAACAGCAACGGCGTACCTGGACCTCTTCCTCCGAAGTCTCTCTGCTCCTGGTTTGCTACATTCTTTTGTCTGCTTCATACTGCGGAAGACTTACGATGGCCAGCGAATCATTGACAGTCTGGTTCAAAGGATAAAATCCACCTCTAGGGTAAATACTATTTGTTATCCAAGCAATCACAAAGAAAACTAATGTAAAAAACTAAAAATAATGTTCTGTAAAAATATTTGTATTATGGATTTAGTTTTGTAATGTTGTATGAGTGTTGTAATGTTTCAGCTGTGCCTTGTAACCCTGGCTCTGCTGGAGACACTGGTAGACCTCAACTGTGAAGATGTCATGGGGGAAAGTTAGCTTAAGTTGATGTAATGTTTCAGCTGTGCCTTGTAACCCTGGCTCTGCTGGAGACACTGGTAGACCTCAACTGTGAAGATGTCATGGGGGAAAGTTAGCTTAAGTTGATGTAATGTTTCAGCTGTGCCTTGTAACCTTGGCTCTGCTGGAGACACTGGTAGACTTCAACTGTGAAGATGTCATGGGGGAAAGTTAGCTTAAGTTGGTGTAATGTTTCAGCTTTGCCTTGTAACCCTGGCTCTACTGGAGACACTGGTAGACCTCAACTGTGAAGATGTCATGGGGGAAAGTTAGCTTAAGTTGATGTAATGTTTCAGCTGTGCCTTGTAACCCTGGCTCTGCTGGAGACACTGGTAGACCTCAACTGTGAAGATGTCATGGGGGAAAGTTAGCTTAAGTTGATGTAATGTTTCAGCTGTGCCTTGTAACCTTGGCTCTGCTGGAGACACTGGTAGACTTCAACTGTGAAGATGTCATGGGGGAAAGTTATCTTAAGTTGATGTAATGTTTCAGCTTTGCCTTGTAACCCTGGCTCTACTGGAGACACTGGTAGACCTCAACTGTGAAGATGTCATGGGGGAAAGTTAGCTTAAGTTGGTGTAATGTTTCAGCTGTGCCTTGTAACCCTGGCTCTGCTGGAGACACTGGTAGACCTCAACTGTGAAGATGTCATGGGGGAAAGTTAGCTTAAGTTGATGTAATGTTTCAGCTGTGCCTTGTAACCTTGGCTCTGCTGGAGACACTGGTAGACCTCAACTGTGAAGATGTCATGGGGGAAAGTTAGCTTAAGTTGGTGTAATGTTTCAGCTGTGCCTTGTAACCTTGGCTCTGCTGGAGACACTGGTAGACCTCAACTGTGAAGATGTCATGGGGGAAAGTTAGCTTAAGTTGGTGTAATGTTTCAGCTGTGCCTTGTAACCCTGGCTCTGCTGGAGACACTGGTAGACCTCAACTGTGAAGATGTCATGGGGGAAAGTTAGCTTAAGTTGATGTAATGTTTCAGCTGTGCCTTGTAACCCTGGCTCTGCTGGAGACACTGGTAGACTTCAACTGTAAAGATGTCATGGGGGAAAGTTAGCTTAAGTTGATGTAATGTTTCAGCTGTGCCTTGTAACCTTGGCTCTGCTGGAGACACTGGTAGACCTCAACTGTGAAGATGTCATGGGGGAAAGTTAGCTTAAGTTGATGTAATGTTTCAGCTGTGCCTTGTAATCTTGGCTCTGCTGGAGACACTGGTAGACTTCAACTGTGAAGATGTCATGGGGGAAAGTTATCTTAAGTTGATGTAATGTTTCAGCTTTGCCTTGTAACCCTGGCTCTGCTGGAGACACTGGTAGACCTCAACTGTGAAGATGTCATGGGGGAAAGTTAGCTTAAGTTGGTGTAATGTTTCAGCTGTGCCTTGTAACCCTGGCTCTGCTGGAGACACTGGTAGACCTCAACTGTGAAGATGTCATGGGGGAAAGTTAGATTAAGTTGATGTAATGTTTCAGCTGTGCCTTGTAACCCTGGCTCTGCTGGAGACACTGGTAGACCTCAACTGTGAAGATGTCATGGGGGAAAGTTAGCTTAAGTTGATGTAATGTTTCAGCTGTGCCTTGTAACCTTGGCTCTGCTGGAGACACTGGTAGACCTCAACTGTGAAGATGTCATGGGGGAAAGTTAGCTTAAGTTGATGTAATGTTTCAGCTGTGCCTTGTAACCCTGGCTCTGCTGGAGACACTGGTAGACCTCAACTGTGAAGATGTCATGGGGGAAAGTTAGCTTAAGTTGGTGTACTGTTTCAGCTGTGCCTTGTAACCCTGGCTCTGCTGGAGACACTGGTAGACCTCAACTGTGAAGATGTCATGGGGGAAAGTTAGCTTAAGTTGATGTAATGTTTCAGCTGTGCCTTGTAACCTTGGCTCTGCTGGAGACACTGGTAGACCTCAACTGTGAAGATGTCATGGGGGAAAGTTAGCTTAAGTTGATGTAATGTTTCAGCTGTGCCTTGTAACCTTGGCTCTGCTGGAGACACTGGTAGACCTCAACTGTGAAGATGTCATGTTGGGGAAAGTTAGCTTAAGTTGATGTAATGTTTCAGCTGTGCCTTGTAACCCTGGCTCTGCTGGAGACACTGGCAGACCTCACTGTGAAGATGTCATGTTGGGGAAAGTTAGCTTAAGTTGATGTAATGTTTCAGTTGTGCCTTGTAACCCTGGCTCTGCTGGAGACACTGGTAGACCTCAACTGTGAAGATGTCATGGGGGAAAGTTAGCTTAAGTTGATGTAATGTTTCAGCTGTGCCTTGTAACCCTTGCTCTGCTGGAGACACTGGTAGACTTCAACTGTAAAGATGTCATGGGGTAAAGTTAGCCTAAGTTGATGTAATGTTTCAGCTGTGCCTTGTAACCCTGGCTCTGCTGGAGACACTGGTAGACCTCAACTGTGAAGATGTCATGGGGTAAAGTTAGCCTAAGTTGATGTAATGTTTCAGCTGTGCCTTGTAACCCTGGCTCTGCTGGAGACACTGGTAGACCTCAACTGTGAAGATGTCATGTTGGAACTTGTGTTCAGACACCTGGTACCTTGCTCTCATATCATGCTGTCTCAGAGGTCGAGGATACGACATGTTGATTCCTACTGCACCAACGCGGACAAACTACTATCTCTCACTCCAGATGTTAACGGCTTACACAGGTACTCATACAATATTATGCACATCCAATTCCAGCTCACATACTCAGTGAAAAAGTTTCAAACTGGCTACAGTAGAATTCCAATCAGCAGGATCCCTCGAGGAGAAAAAAATGGCCAGTAAAGTTCATTGCAGTTTCTAGTAATCTGGAACATGTGTGCCAACTCCAACTACTGTCCATCACGAGGCAAGTCTATTGTAGTGTTTTGTACCAAACGGTGGGCAATTAATCGTCTGCCTAGTGCTACTGTTTATATTTTTTTTCTTGAACAATCTTTAAATATCCGGATAGTCTTTTCCCATTAAGAATTGACCCGCCAAGTGTAACCTGAACAAAACTATATGAATGTATCTAATACCACTCTAATCGCTGATTGTTACAATGATTGACATTCTTGTTCTGTTTTACAACAGGCCGGAGTTATCTGAAGGCAGTCTCTACGGTGACTACCAAGCGTATTTACATGACGCAAGAAGCAAAATACTCAGTTGTAGTGCAGCCACGAATTGTTGGATGTATCCCTACGATGGAGAGAACCCGCCCCATACAGGTAAGGCTGAAATTAATGCAAAGCTAGAACCGTTAGTGTTGAATTTAATCTACCTGTCAGCTAATTGAGAAAATAGAGTAGGTTCTTTGTGGACAATAAAATCTGTTTACGGAATTCAGCTTTTGTTGCTTTTGCTTGTGTTTGCAATTCCTTATCAAGTTCTAAAGAAGTTGATCTGAAAGTTGTTAAGATATTGGGTTAAGGTTCTAGAACCTTTTCAGGGAAATGCAGAAAGCCCATGTGTGTTGTGTACATCAGCCTTAAAGGCCGCCTGTAAAGACAAACATCAGGGTGTCTACCAACCGGGAAATCCGGGAAAACCGGGAATTGTACTTAATTTTTTATTGGCCATGAAATGTACGGGAATTGTCCTTAAATGCCAGACTATGTCCTTAAATTTTTAATGGGCCATAATTTTATTGATCGCTAGTTGGTTAGGAGCACATAAAAGGTTTATCAGATGTTTGTTTACATTTTCATAATTTATTACTAGAGTTATTATGCAATAAAAATCCCAATAGCAATTTCAAACCCATTAACATTTTATCACGACAATCAAGTGTCAAGTCAAGTACTTCCAAGAACTGTTGACTCAGTTATAGCTCATAAAAGTTGTATCACTTTTATTCCTTTACAACTTCTTTTTTTATTACTAGGGTAATTATTATGAGATCCCAAACCTATTTTATCGTGAAAATAATAGATTTATAATGGCTGTTAAATTTCACTTCTTACTTGTACTTTGGCTTGAAGATTCAATTTGCCGCGGCCATTGCCTAGTGCCATAAAACTGTTGATGGTTTCATATTAAACATGTAAATAATCTACAGTTTTATTTTGTAAGTTAACCCCTTTTTTATGGATATTTGATCTTTTTTTAATTGACAAAACCACAAGCAATGTTGTTTGCATTAATGTTTTATCACTATGTATGCCTGCTTGGTTTCAAATTATGTCATTGCATTTTCTTTATCTTTGTCTTATATTGTTGGCTATTCAGGTTTCAATGTTTTTTGTTTCCCATATATTTATTTATTTTGAGTTGTATGCTTTAAGCAATCTAAATCTTATGAACTAGAATGATGATAGTGACTTTGCTGCTATTATAACCTCATTGTTTGTTACCCAGTTTATATAGGCCCTCCTAAATAATTAGGTCTAGGCCTGGGTATTTTGATTCTTGAAAGAGCTGTAAAATATATTAAGAAAATGTAATTGAGCCTAGATAAACAATTAATGATTGCTATGTGTCTATACTATTCTTAGAGAGAGTCAAAGAGTCTTAGAAGAGTCAAACTATTCTTTATGCTGACGATACAACATTTTTTCATGTAAACCCCAACCTAACAGAACTAAAAAATCTTGTCCATGAAACAAAGCTAAAAGCATCAAATTGGTTTAATGCGATGGATTTTTGCTTAATGAAGAAAAAACCCAAAACATGATTTTTACACTGAAACAAATCCCCACTATGAGTGATCTAAATAATAGCACAGCTGTAAAATTTTTGGGCCTTCAAATTGATAATCAACTCACATGGAATGCTCACATAGATTATTTATCTTCAAGATTGTCTCGTGTGGTGCATCTTTTAGATCGTCTGGTAGATCAGGTTCCTAAGAAATATGTAAGGACGGCCTATTTTGCGTACTTCCAGTCAATTATGAGATACGGATTGGTGCTTTGGGGTGGTAGTAGTAGAATAAAAGAAATTTTGATTCTCCAAAAGAGGGCTTTAAGAGCTATGACAGGGACGCACCCTGATCATTGTAAACCTCTTTTTATAGATCTGCAAATTCAAACTGCAGTAAATTTGTTCATTTATGATCTGATTGTTTATATATTAAAAAAACCCTGAATATCTTCAATTTAATAATCACAGTCACAACACTCGTTTTAAAAATACTGCGCTGTTAGAATCCCATTGTCTTAGTAAAACTAGTAATTGCCACATAATTTTATCAATTAAAGTGTATAATTCAGTAAAAAATAATATAAATTTTCATTCAATTAACAAATTTAAGGCCATGTTTTATAATTATCTACTTCAGAACCCTTTTTATAGTCTGGATGATTATTTTAAACTGGGAGAAATTGTCCTTTAGTTTGGTTTTAATTTCAGTTAAGAATGTGAATGGAGTTGAATGTTAATTGTAATATTTGGCCTGTAAGAGTATTTTGTTGTTTATTTTAAGACTTGGTTTGAAAACCGCAAATAGACTTTGTCAATGATATGTAAATGTATCCTTATGGCAAATAAAGATTGATTGATTGATTGATTGATTGATATATTAACTTTGCAAATGAAAATACAATAATCTTACTCTGTGCTTATTGCTTATTGGTAGCCGCTTACCATACCTTGATTTTGTACTAAGAACTGAGTAACAATATGCATTAAAGATTTTTTTCAAAAGTAGTCGAGAGCCTAACGTTGTGCCAGGGCGAATCATGCCAAATTAATCCGCCTGGATCGGATAAGTTATGTTATGAAGTTTACGTGACCGATGGAGATATTTGTCGCTATCGCAGGAGACAATGATTGCGTTTCTCTGTTACACTATAAAAGCTTTACCTAAAGTATAGGTAGGCCTATACTTGTTTACTTTCAATAAATTTCAATTTTGAAATTTTTAACTCTTATCTATTGTTATTTACTGTTCTCTCTGGTACAACTACAGTTAATAACAAGATTAATACAGTTTGACAAATCAGGAAAATTATTCGGTAGGCCTAATGACACCGACAAAGGTTACGACAAAGTGTCCTTAAATGTAAGGGAATTGTCCATGAATTTTTTATCCAGAATGTAGTAGACACCCTGAAACATAATAATAGTAGGCCTACTGTTTACTCTTCCAGGTTTCCCAGTGAGACCTGTAGACCTGCCTGTTACCCTGGACGCGGAGGCCGACCACAGCCTCCCCTCTGCAGACGACGGTAGCTCTGGGTACGAGAGTTTCGCCCTCAAGGAGGGAGGACGAGGCAGTGAGAGTGGGGGAGATTGTGACAGTCCGTGTGGAAGTGATCATGACTCTCCCTCCAAGTCTCAACCTTCTCCTACTCTGTACGACACTGGGATCAACACTGTACGCACCATAGGTCAGTTGCCTGGCAAGTGTAAAAGAAAGGGGATGATGTCCTATCCAAAACCATAAAAAGTCAGAGAAGTTGGAAAAAACACAGACTGTTTAGACGCTAATGCAGTACATGAAAAATGAATGTATGAAAAACATTAAAACATGTCTAATCTTCAGTCATCCGGTCTTATGTTTCATCAACTCTCCTGATGCCAAAGGAGTACCAAGAAATTGCCTGCTATACCATTACCATTACCATTACCAACTGGCGATCGTTGACCAGATGTCTGGATTGATCTTGTCAAATAAAATTTACTTTTAAGAATTAATAAACTAATATTTACAGTATTTACACTCCATGGCGGCCGGATTCATACTCAAAAGTCAATTCTACATTAAAAGTTTTAAGATCGATAGGTACAGCCTTTAATTCAGGCTCAGCATAGATTGCTACACCCCCATGAATGTGTAAGGTCCGACATTGCGCACTCACAAGACGTAAATGTCCTATTTCATGATAAAAGTCAAGCTCATTTTCAGCCAACCAATGTTCCGACAGACACAGTATCTGGGTTTTGTTTTCACCAACAAACATTTGTACCATATTGAATTTAGTCCTAAGACATTGTACATTAACAAAAACAGTTTTCAGAGTTGGGCATGTAGGCCTATCACTAAACAAAACACCCTCACTAGTCCTAGGCCTAGAGTCATTACTTTTGTCAAGACCTGTTAACATTAAGTCCTTGGTGGGCGAATCCACCTCCGTTTCCCTAAAAAAACGGTTTTTGGGAGTAAAGGGGCGAAAGTCATCAACTCTCACTTCTTCAGGCCACATATCAGGCTTTTTAGCCTTATCAATGTCTTCTAGGTTGATTCCTATTTTGAAGGATTTGTGAACACTGTATTTTGAAGTTATTTCCTGGCAGATTACTTCACCAGAGGTTATTTGCTTCATATGTTCTGTTAGAGCTTTAGTTTCGGTATCCAATGCAAGGTTAGTAATGAACAACCATCCTTTCTTGGTGGCTTGCTTTATCTTCAATTTTCCGTCACTAGGTAGACTTCCAACAATAAACGTAGGCTTCCGTTGCTCAGGCTTCGTTCCTTCTAGGTTAGGTTCTGCTTCTGCCGATCCCGCTCCTGAAGTCGGTTTTTGATGTCGATGTTTAGCAGCTTCGATTCGCGACTTGCTATGTTTATTAGTCTTGTTAACTTTGAGTGCTTGCGAATAAGAACGAGGGCTTAATGTTTCCTTGTATTCTTCTTCCAGAATTACGCCATTCAACGGATCCAACACTTGAGCTTCACTCTCACTTTCGTTTTCGTTAGCGTCGGCATCCGAATCGATGTCTCGGTTTTCGTTTTCGACTATTGCGGTAGTCGAATCGTCATTTTGCTTCACATTACTCGATATATCGATATCGCTTGACTTCGATTCTTCATTCGAAACACCAGAGTCATTTATTTTCTCGCCGAATTGGCTAGATTGTCCTTTAGATTTTTCAATATATTTGATACGTTTCTCTAAATCATAATAAAACTCGTTAATTCTCTCAATTTTATCCAGCACTACTTTAATATCAACATTCTCACTCTCACAGTTGCTCAAGTTCAACTTGGCTTGTTTGCGTTGTTCAATCATGTTTCTAACCTCATCGTTGCAGCAAGCGCAGAACCAAAACGACTTTCCACATAAGTCTTTAAATTTTGCACACTCTTCTCTTGAAATATCACAGCATCTAAGATGAAACCATCTTTCACAAACGCCTTTACACTGCATTCCACCCGTACGATTAGTAACTTTAGTTGAACACGCACCACATTTAGTGTCCACTTTACTACCGGCCGCCATCTTGCCAACCAATTGCTTATATCCGTGGCTTGTGACTGTTCATGTATTGTTGAGACAATTTTGCCAATCCTGACTGTACTCGAAAGATCTTTTGTGTCAAGGCAGTTTTTCCATTCTGCTTGCCACACAATTTGTCAAATTTTTATATCTGCATACCTTTCTGCTATGTTTCTGTTTAGTGTAAAAGGGTTAGTTCAGCAAAAAATATTTTAAAATTATGAAAATTCTCACTATTAACAGCTTATATAAACATTGTTCGTGTATTTTTGGCTTAAACAACCTTGCAAATGATAACAGTTTAAATTACAACACCAGCAGAAAAAAAATAGTAACTAAAAATCACCTGCTTCTTGTCATCCAAATTGTTGCTGTTATGACGCAACTAGTTTCGACTTATCACAAAGTCATCTTCGGGCGTCCAGGGGATGTCAAATCACTTCATCAGAAGGTTGTCAATACATACATACGTTCATACACGAACATGGTTACGGTTACGAACATCAACAATGAAAATAAAAATCACCAATCCAAATGGTAAAAAAATACTGTATAAACAATTCCAATCAGCCTTGACCCAGGTGCAGTGATCCAGGATGGAGGTATGACTTCTTGAAATATATTCCTTGAAAATTTATGTACACTTATAAATCTTATGTCCTTATGTGAACTTATGTGTCCTCTCCATCCTATATATTTATTTAATCCAAACTAAATGCTTTTTCCTAAAAACATAACCTGTACACTTATAAAAATGATTTTAGATCCTTCTCACTGTTAATGACATAAGGTTTACAACTTTTATGGATTTTAAAACACTGTTACTCATAAGTCTGCCATTTCACCAGGTCCGTTCCTAGATGCAGTGTTACAGAAGTTAGAAGCAATGCTTAGTCAGGATCTGTACACCAACTTGAGACTCACTGGACTCATATCTCGACTTGCCGTTTACCCTCAACCTCTGCTGCATTCTTTGCTGCTAGACCACTCATTAGTCTTCCAACCTGGGATACCTTATCTCTTTCAGGTTTGTATTTTATATAACTTACCACAGAAAATTACAGTCCTGGAACTCATTGGTTTGGAATAAAAAATAAATGTTAACTCTTAAAACTTTACACTCATACCATCCTCCATCCCTCTTGAATTTAAAGCTACCTTGGTTGAACCTTCTTTTACCTACCTTCTTACCTGTACCTTCTTTTACCTTCTTTTAAATCCTGAAAAATCTAATTTTGTATAATTTTCTACAAAACAAAACAAAAACAAATTAAATCCAGACATAATTTTTGAAGATTATAAATTACAGCAGGTAGAACATACAAAATTTCTTGGTTTAATAATTGATAAAAATCTAACCTGGGACAAACATGTTGATCATGTTATCAAAAAAATGTCTTCAGGATTATCTGCTTTAAGACAAATGTATAAAGTTTGCAGCTTAAAAACATTAATATCAATATATTATGCCTTAGTTCATTCTAATTTAGCTTATGGAATCAGTGTATATGGAGCAACTACATCAAAAAACTTAAAACGGATTTTATCGTACCAGAAAAGGGCAATTAGGGCAATGTTTAATTTGAAAAGGAAAGTTTCGGTAAAACATATTTTTACCGTTCTTGGAACTGTTCATGGACTATATATCTTGGAAACTATTATTTATGCGAAAAATATTACAAAAACTCAGGCATCGAACAAAATTAGTCATAATTATAACACTCGTTCTCAATTTCAAATTGATAGACATAATCTAGAATTTTATAAAAAGTATTAAAAAGAAAACAAAATTCACAGGAAATAAATTTATGTCTCATCTTCCAAAAACACTTCTAACTGAAAATGATACGAAAAAGTTTAAAAATTTTCTGAAACAGTATTTGATTAAAATTGCCTCTTATTCTTTTGAAGAGTTTTGGGAGAACAAATAAAATAAATTTCTGTCTCATTTTTAGTTCAATGTAAAACATTTTATTTTGTAAGATCTGACTCTATTCCTGTACAATTGTACTTAAATGAATAAAGGATAATTTGATTTGATTTGACATTTACTGTGCCCAATAAATAAGGCAAAACAAACTAATACGCAGGCCCTTAAAGCCTTACACTCATACCATTCGCCATCTATCTCAAATTCAAAGCTTCCTTTGTTGAAATTTCTGCCAGTGCTCAATACAAAATGTATAAAAAAAACCTATACATTAAGCTGAAGCTCTCATACCATCCTCCATATCTCCCCAATTCAAAGCTTTCTTAGGTGAAATTTACTGTCAGTGCCCAATAGAAAATGTAAATAAATAAAATCTAAACCTTAAAGCCAAAACAAAAAACACTTGTACCATCCTACATTTCTCTCCAATTCTAAGGTTCTTATGTTGAAATTGTTGTCAGTGCCAGTAAAAAATTCTAATTTTTTTTGTATTATGTATATAGTTCTGTTTCTTACCTGCTACTCTCACTACAATATTTGAAACCCTAGCCTTTTTGCTATAGCATTCTTAAGAAAATAGAATTTTAACACACCCTGTGAATGGCTCATTCAATAACGTTCTGTTTAGATATAAATCTGCTTCTCTGGTTCATTAAGGTTATATGTCTACTGTAGTAATCCTTGGTGTTTCAAATCAAATCAAATCAAATCAAAATCTCCTTTATTCATGAATGTACAAGTATAAAGAATAGAGTCAGTGAGTACTTATTGTCTATTCACAATATTTTAAATTATAAAATTCCTCAAAGGAGTAAATTGCTTTTTCTACTAGGTATTTTTTAGTTTAAAGTAAAATTTCCTACTATTACATTCATTTTTTATATCTTTTGGTAAAAATTTATGTATCTAAGGCCTCTATACACTGTGTTTTTTTTTATAAAATTCTAAATTATGTCTGTTTTGTATAACATATTGTGCATTTCTGGTATTATATCTATTATGGTAGGCCTACTTAGTTCTAACTGTATTTTTGGTAAATGGTGCTAAGCTGCTTAGTATATTTTATTGTCTCGTATATATAAATTCCAAACACTGTTAGGATTTCCAAATTAGAAAAATGATACTTTACACTTTTAATCCAATTTAAACTTAGCATTAATCTATTAGCTTTCTTTTGTAACAGAAGTATTTTATTAAGGTTTGATTTTGAGGTCCCTCCGTACACACTAATTCCGTATGAAGATTATGCAATGTCTTCATACATGAAATATTCATCAGAAATTTACATTTCTGATGAATGAGATCTACAAAAAAGTCTCTCACAATTGTTACAGTATCGAACACATATTTGTAATGAATGTATAAAAGCAGAATACACCAGTTTTAGAGCTGAAAGATCACAGACTAGGACATCCTTCGAAGAACATACAAGCCTGATGAAATTTTGCCTACAACATGCTGGACATGAGAGTCCCAACTTAAATTGTTATCAATAATAATTCCTAAAAATTTTAAATCATTTAATTTATTAATTTTAGCATTAGTCTTCAAAATTGTCTCATTGTTTTTATTTTAACACAGTTTTAATTTTATTTTGTTTATTCCACAGGTTTTGTGTTCGCTCAAGTCCAAGATAGAAAGGTTGTTGGTGGGGGTGAGGACAGTGGAGGGGATGGTAAAAGAGGCGCAACAGTATCTACTTGAGAGGGAGGACAGACTGGTCAACGCACGCAAGCACGCTCTAGAGGCTCCCGCTAGTCTACCCCCTACCACCTTCAGCCCTGCCGACCCCTTCGACAGAGGTCTGTATCATCTACACATTATTTTTTATCTTCTCAAAATCATAGTTTTCATGGTTGGTGTATGGAATCAAATTCAGGTTACGCAGTACCTAAAACATAAAAAAATAAGTATACAATCTAAAGGTAACTGGAAGAAAGTTTCAACAAATAGGTATTCAGGTATGAAAAGTTGGCGGACTGTGTGATGGCTATTTTTAAATCTAAAACAAAAAGATAGTACAATCATGTAAAAGGTAACATTACAGGCTACTGATTTCTGGTGCATGACTTCCGCGTACAGTCAGGGATCGTTCAAGGGGTTGATTTAACACACTGCTATGAAGTGTAGTCTTGCAAAACGGATTTTACTGTGCTTTATTATCAATAGAGAGGGTCCTATCAAACGAAAGATTACATAATCAAAAGTCAGATAATCTTCACTCCATTTAAATTACAATTTCTTCTATGAATTGTTTAAAGTTCTTTCTAACTGCAAGCTTAATCCAAGATGAGGTCAGGAGAACTACCAATTGAGAATAGTTGCCACAAATTTGGTTACAGATTGTCACAACCTAACTGTAAGGATATAGCCAGCTTGAAGAAGACCCAATTGTCCAATATAGTTGCTATCAGTTGGGTGAACTGTATTGAATATCAGTAAATTTTGATTATTCGTCTGTTAAGGGGAGATGCCCAGTTTTTCGGTCAAAAAATTAATTTTTTGTTTATTGCATTGAAAAATTCTTCATCTTTTCCTGATTCAGAAAATATATAATTTTAATATATTTACTACAGTCTAACAATCATAAAAAATAATATAAATAGTACTACACACTCGGTTTTAGTCACAATGGGCTGAATTAGCGTCAATTAAATTTATGTTAGAAATTTAATTTTGTTGAATGGTTGCACTGAATAAATGTTGTTGCTAGGTTAAATAGTCAACAAAAATCTTTTTCTGTTTGTTTTTCTTTCTTTATAACATATGTGTATATAATAATAGTGCTGTTTGTGATGAGGAATAATGTGGCATAGGGTAGGCCTAGGCTTGACTTTAAATGAGTTTTTTCCGAAACTGTGTTTTTTAATGTTTAGGTACCATTTTCCAGACTACTATAAGTACCACTGACTTCAAATTTTTTTCTGTTACTTAGGACATCATGGCCCACAAAGTGTACTAAAAGTTTGCTTCTATGTTTAAAAAAACATTATTAATAAAATTAATTAATATTTGTAAAATAGTGAAAAAAATTATATATTTTAAAAATTTTGATAAAATATGATTTTTTTGGTAGAACATATTTAAATTAGTACAGTTTGTCTTAAATGTCAATACAAATAAGTAGTTAAAATTTGATATGCATAGCTAAAAGGGTTCTTTCTTAAATGGTACCTAAGCAACACGATGTTTACCCATATAAAATGCATTAAATCTAAAAAGTGGGCATCTCCCCTTAACTTATGTTATAGTTATTCCAATGAAGGAATTTCTCACTATTGCGTCTTGTTCGTAGGTGACAGCAAACGACGCAGCCTCACAATGGCCCTCAGCTCTGTGTTCAGGAGAAACGGAACACCACCTGTCAAAGACCCCAGGTTCTCAACATTTCAAAACTACAGGTAAATATAAGTCACATGGGCTGCAGTGATTAGATAGTGTATGTCGCTAGTTTCAAACCAGCAATGACCTACTTATCTGACGTGTTGTAGGTATCTTCAGCAGGCTGACAGTGGGGTCAGAGACACAGTCATGTGTGCTGTCGTACTGGACGAGTGGTTAAAGGAGCTGGCAGCCATATCACAGGAACACACGGTATGTCCTTTATAATCACCTTTAATACTTGAGTACTTTTCAATGAAATTGCGACCATAAAAAGAAGGTATTTTAAGCCAAGTATGAATGGAGATGAGTGTTGGATGAGTGGTGCGATCTTGTAATCTTGTTAGTGACTAAGGCCGACTTATTCCTTAGACGCAGCTGTTAATTAATAGTGGAATCTGAACAACATTTTTGCCTTGGTATATACAAATTGGTCTAATTTTCAGTATAGTACTGCGGATAGTCGTAGTACTCACTTGTGCGGACGTTAATCCACACCAAGGAGTATCGCATTCATAGTGCATGCCTATAAATATCCACAATTTATAACCTCCTAGTAGCTGGATTACAGGACGATGTATTTTTGTTTATGTTTGTACTTCTTGTGCTTTGAACAGCTATGTTGGTTAAAGCTCATTATTGTTTAATGTCAGTAGCTTGTCTCTCAGAATGTCGGCTCAGTAGTTACTGTAGGAATTCAAGTAGCCTACATTTATTTTCATCCCAAATCAAACTGTAAAACAGTGTTAATACTACTTCTCATATTCCGGCTGTGTCATTGCCTATCATTGTCATGACGACAATGGTCATTTGGACATCATCACCGTCTCCCACAAAAGTGGAAAACATCGTTATCCCAGCGGTCACAGACACCATCATAATTTTTTTTTACTGATTAATAATTACTGCTGCCCTGAATATGTTCAGCAGTAACGGAAACATATCAGCGTCTCCCGCAATCATGCAAATGTTATCGTCATCCCCCGTGATCGTGACCAAATCTGGGATGTCTTCTGGGGATTGTTGAAAAATATAGCCTCCCACGGTCGAAGGAACATCATCATCGTGACCTGTAACAGCGGTAAAATTATCAACATCTCTCACAATCAGACATCATCGTCTCTCGCAATTGTTACAGTATCGAACACATCCTCCTTGATGGCTAAGACATCATTACGGAATCTCGCTATAGAGACATAGATTTGAACTTCACCCCAAAATCACTAAGGTATCCTCATCGTATTACGAGACTGCAGCAAAATTGCCTGACATCATCATAGTCTCCCAAGATTGTGACAAAATTTGAACATCCTACGTAGAACATCATTCATTTTTTTTTAAGAAAACATTGCAAATCTCAGAGCCCTGGAGCCCTTGGCGATTACCGGCCATCCATCCTGGCCTCTGGTTTTATGATACAAAATCTGCGCTCCAATCAAACAGAATTTTTTAGTTATTAAATGGATGATCTTAACACCCATTTTAGCTCACATTTGTACGTGAAAAAAGCAATTGTTTGCAGATACATTATTATCCCCCAACATGTCTATGGAAATTGCTTAATTGGAAACTTACCTTTTCAGCAAATAATTACTATTTAAAATAATTTAGGTTTTATAGAGTCAATCAACTGTAATTTAGTTTAATAATCTTTATGTTTTCAGATCATTAAACTTTCTTCATAATATCTGGTGTTTCGCCGTTTTTATAAGGGTAAGTCATCAGTCATTTATTGCAATTAACTACCTTACGACCATACATTGTACACTAGAGAAATTTCAATGTTGATGATATTGTGGATATTTTTGTCAGTGGGTTAATGATTTATGTGGCTTATCAGTTATCTTTTTAATGGAAAAACATAATCGAGTTTGGAGAGTATGTGATCTACTCAATAAAAAACAGGTTTAAATAACTTAAATATTTAAAAAAAATGTGGATTTAGACTTTAGATTTAAGATTTAGTGGACTTAGATTTAGACTTTGTTTGTTATTAGACAATGAGTTGGTTACACAACAGGCTGTGAAACCAAACCAGCGGTTTCATGTTTGTGTCCCCGTGTAGAAACTTAAAATCTATCGGAACAGTGTTAATTCTTATTCTGTATTAGATCACCTCCTGTATTACTTGCATCACACAACTCGCAGGCCTCTTAAGACCCAGGTTAACAGGCAAATTTAAGGTTCAAAGAAGCCTCTAACCTCTTTAAAAAAATGAATAGTGTAATTTTTTAATCTTGGGGGAGGGGGGGATAAATTTGTGTTAACTTCTACAAAATTATTTTTATTTATTACTTATTTTGGTGAGTTTGGTGAGTCGGTGGCTCAGTTGGTAGCGTCACGGACTTCGGGCCCAAGGCAGCGATGTTGTGGGTTCGGATTCTGGTCACTGCCACTCAAATTTATCAGTACAGTTTACCTTTGTACTGTACCGGCTCACCCCTTGCTTTGCTGGATACGTTCCATGCACAGATCTGTAGTCTATGTGGACGGGAACATAGAGTTAAATTTATTTGGTGTCTTATACTTTTGTTGTTTTATTTTTTAGACGGGTCTCTCCAAAAGAACAATGTTGCACAACCAGTAATATAAGAGAAGACAACTAACGTTATTTTAGGGGTTTTATTCGATTATTCATTAGATAATTTATTTTTGTGTGACATAACAACTAATCTTACTTGCCAAAGTACTTGGATTATGTTTTCTATAACTACTTACCTAGGAAATATTATTGTACTTTAAACATAAACATAAGTGCTTGGACAAAACATGATTATTTTTTTATTCTAATCTTCAACTTTGACAAATTTTGTGCATAAAATATTTATCTTATCCAATTTTATTTACTTGAACTTGTCCGTCCTGCTTTGCCAAGCACAAATGTTTCAATCGGTGTAAAAATGTCAATTTTGTTTCAAAAATGTGATTTTAACTTAGCTTTAATAATAACATTGCATGTTGCCACAATTTGTAGATTGTATATTTTGTTACTAGATTTTATTGTATAGGATTATTACTTACGGTTGGACTATGTTGTAGTATATGTTAAAGTTTTACTTACGTGTTATGTAGTTGTTATATTCTTCGTACGTGTTATATCCATGACTTAATACATGATTTGCTTTAGTATTTATTTTAAATCTTTTTGGTGACAAATATTTTCATTATTATATTTAACAAATGAGTCAATTGATTTTTAAAGTAGTTTTTCCCTTAAAGTTGATTCTATTGTTGGCTTATGGATATTTTAAGGAATTATTTGTGTATTTTACCATTTCTTGCATCGGTTTCTCGCTTAGGGATGTTCGATATTTTATTATTTTACTAATATTCATTCGAGCTTGTTCTAATCAATTTCCTATTTGTTTGGATTGTTAATATTCATTTGACATACAACTTAGAACTTACTATTGTACTTGTTTTGCACTTGTTATTGTCATCAGTATTTGTTTATTTACTATTCAACGTTATGATTATCAGCACCATTTCCATCAAACACCAAGTTAAAATTTCGGATCAAATAAATTTTCTCCTTTATACGTAATTTTGCTCAAATATTTAACATTTAGTAACAATTTATGATAAACATAATAAAAGAACACAAAACATATTTCTCATTTACTTTTAGGTATTATATATTTTGTTCTTAATATGACATAATACACATTATTTTTGTTTAATCAATGATTGCATAATGGGTTGAATAAATTAAATTCTACTTACATTTGGTTTTACAAGTGAAATATTGATATTACTAATCAGTAAACATTCTAGATTTACAATAGTAATTCATCATAAGCTTGTTTTTAAAATTTTTTTTTTTTATGGGAATCATATTACAACATTTTACTAATTTTAATATTTTAACTAACTTTAGAATAAGTTAAACTTAGAAGATGAAAATCAATATTGCAATTACTCCCAAATATTTCTTTTTTCGAATATGTATACTTGTTATAAATCTAGCTTAACGTCACTTTTTTATATAATTGTTTAGTTCTTTGACATTTGTTTTCAAAACAATTCTCCCTACAACTTGATGTAATTTAAGATACTGCCAAAAAGTAAATCCCACTGATTATTTTGTACATAAGTTTTGTAATTTGTCTGTTATTTAGGTTAGGTATGTAATAATTTTCATTTCAGTATTCATGGAATCGATACAGTGCCGGATTTACCACTAGGCCGATTAGGCCGCGGCCTAGGGCCGCAAGCAAGAGGGGGCCGCAGAAGATTGCACAACAATTTTTTTAGATAAACAAATAATTTTTTTAACCATTAGTTTGCCGCGATCACAGGTGACCATAATAATGTTTCCATGATTGCGGCCCACAGAAGATGTTCACGATTTTGCCGCGGCCGTGGGTGTCGATGATGATGTCCCTGTGATTGCGGCCCACAGAAGATGTTCACGATTTTGCCGCGGCCGTGGGTGTCGATGATGATGTCCCTGTGATTGCGGCCCGCGGGAGATGTTCACGATTTTGCCGCGGCCGTGGGTGTCGATGATGATGTCCCCGTGATTGCGGCATGCGGGAGATGTTAACGATTTTGCCGCAGCCGTGGGTGTTGATGATGATGTCCCTGTGATTGCGGGCCACGGGAGATGTTAACGATTTTACTGCGGTCGCGGGTGACGGTGATAATGTCCCTTTGTTGCAGCCCGTGGGGATGTTCATGATTTTGCCACGCTCTCGTATACCTATGATTGCTTTGACTTGATTTAGGAGAGATGTCCACGATTTCATCCACGATCACGGGTGTCAATGATGATGTCCCCTTGATGCATAAGAGATATTCACGATTATTTCCGCGATTGCAAGGAATTTCCACCACAGGGGGAGGGGGAGGGCCGCTCAAGTAATTTGGCCTAGGGCCTCAAGTACCCTAAATCCGGCACTGAATCGATACATTCAAACACCAAGACTATATCAAATCAAAATCTATTGTTCACAATTTTTATACTCATGTGGTTTGGGTCATGTATGAACGTAATGTTGTCCAGTATTTCCAACTAGTATTAATATGCAAAATTGGTTAGTTGTACTGTTAACTCTGATTGCCAAGATTAAGATTTTTATGGAAGATATTTGTTTTGGACGCTTTTTTAAATTATAATATCAATATATTAATTTATGTAATTGTCTGGCAAGTGAGTTTACAAAAACTGATAAAATTTTAGTTGGAACACATTTTTAGACCTTCAAGATAAAATTACTTACTTTTTTAAACCTGGCAAAGTTTATGGTTAAACCTAGTTTAAGTGAGACAATGTTAGTTGTTAGTTAATTTTCATCACCCGATTATTGTGGTTTTTTATTGCTGTATTTCACTGGTGATAAATCAATTTTACTATTCAAAAGTTTTTCCATACGTGAAACGGATAGATTAGCTAGTACAGTGGACTCCCTCTTATCAGGACACCTTTAAACCGGACTACACTCGGCAGAAATTACATCTCTTTAACCAGACAATTTTTATCAGCACAACGGTTTAACCGGACTAGATCGGCTTGAAGTAGGCTGTACTGAAACAACTGTTTTCATGGGAAAGTTTTGAGACCAGTGATCACGTGTCTAAATACAATGCTCTCCTAAATTTAAGAAAAATACTCTATACATTGTGCATTTAAACGGTCCATTTAAAAAAGTTTTTTGGGACTTCAGTTTAACCGGAAAAACCGTTATCCGGATTGGCCTCGGTCCCTAGGAGTCCGGATAAGAGGGAGCCTACTGTATTCAGTATTACCGAAGGGCGAAGATTAAAAATATAATTCAGGTTTTATTATTTTGCCTCAACAATATAAATCAAGAATGGATTCATGTAGGAAGTAGGATTTTAAAATTTCAATCAAATTACTTCAAGAAGAAACCTTTATTACTCTTGGCAGTCAAAGTTTTTGAAGCTCAAAAACTCATGCAATAGGAGAAGGTTGATGAGAAGGAAGTGGAATATCGTTACCGTTTAAGATTCTTTATTACTTTAGAATAGTCTACTTTTAGTTGCTATTTTCAACAAGCAATATTTTTTTGCAATATTGCTGCTATTTTTACAGTTGTTTTGCTTTTTGATGATAACTGTTTTTTTTTGTTTTTTTTTCATCCTGAAACGTTGTTGGGTTATGAAGTTGTGGAAAAATTAAGTAAATTGAAAAAAAATTTATTAAAGTAGAAATTGAATTAGGTACTCTAGGATAATTGACAAGGAAATGGAATCTCAAAATAGACACAAAGAAGGGAATATTTGAAATTGTATATAGGTAGTTATTTTGTAAATATAATAGACGCTGTTGAACTTAGGAGACGCAGGTTTGGGATTTGGGCAGTGCCGAATTACGGTGTATCTGCTAAAAAAACTGGAAATACCAATAAAATAGAGCCGAAGGGCTATTACTTTGATATTAGGTTACTGTTCTGTGTTAAATTATGAGATTTCAGAATGCCATACCTCAGGCGATGCCCGTCAACTTTGCGAGCCTAGAACTCTTGTTTAGCGTTAAAAAAATCCCCACTTGGCGGATACTGGATTATTGAATGTAACGCATTATTGGATGCCAAGTTTGAAGTAAAGATGTAAGGAACAGTGTCATAAACATTGGGCCATTAGTCACAAAATAAGAACTTCAGCCTAAAGATTTTTTCATGCAAACTGAATTGGAAACGTTTTGAATTAAATTCAAGCTGTGTTTGATTGAATTTGTCGTATTTTAACATTTATGTTTAAACATTTGGATTGAGGTGAGCCCTGCATTTGTTTCAAACAAAAGTTTACAACAATCCCAAGAATGCTAGCTGTGTCAACAGTTTAGTGTTGCAACTTAAATTTTGTTTTTTACAAGAAGTTCAACATGTTTACAGAAATGTTTAAGCCACATTCAACTCAAGAATTTATTTTATTTTGTTGTATTATAATGTTTTTACGGAAGCGTTTGAAACGCAGAGATTTTTGTCCTTAACAATATTGTGTTGCGTTATTTTTTCATCTTAGAACCTTATAGACCCTTTGGTTAGTTTATCTATTATTTTGGGGTAATTCAAAAAGTAGATTACAATTTATGATTAAATTATTGACCAACCAGCCTCTAATCAAGATGAGGTTGTAACGAAAGCTGCCAGACTCCTTGGTCTAATAAGAGCATATGCCAGTAACCTACTTTTTGGAGAAAAATTATGTTTGTAAAATCTTTACTAAGCTACAGTATATTTAATAACTGAAGATCCCTTGTACCTATTTGTACTTATGGGGTGATATTTAAGGGGTTGTGCAGTATAACTTACTAACTTGCTTTCTTTGCTTTGCAATAACAATACTTAATTTCTACCTTATCGAAATAAACTGTAAAGTTGTGTAACATTTGAGCCAAATATACCTGTAGTTGTAAATTATTAAAATTGTTAAATCCTTTTAAATTTAACTTTTTTAGGTTTGTAAAATTTTATGTATAATCTGTAATAAATTGTAAACAACAAACAGCCATAATCGTTTCATTGTTTCCTTTTTATCTTCGATACTCAGTACGAGCAATGGTAGTAAATAGTTCAAACTAAGATGTGTCAACTCATAGATTAGTTACCGAACAAATTGATGGAATCCTTTTCAAAACCCAAAAGTTTTATAAAGGTATTCATTTTTTGTTAGTCTTAAGGCGCCGGTGTCATCATTGTACTCTCGGTCTTCTGGTGAGAGCCGTTTCAAATCGGTATTCAGCCTACATTATTTACTATACCATATTTTTGGTCATCCTTCAATGTGGCATCCTCAGTACTTGGTAAAACTAAGACTAAGCTTGGTTCTACCCAAAAGGTTAGCTTTGACACTGAGAATGCCACATTGTAGAGAATGGACTAAATGTGTGGAATTGGTTTTGACATTGCTCCCACTGGTAGACCAAGAATGTAAAGGTACTCAACAATCTGTTAACCAAGACAACCTTTGGGAACTGTCATATAATATCTCTTATTTATGGCACAACAGTTAGTAATGTCTTTTTAGTGAATGCTGTGGCTAGAATGATGAGTTTCTGATTTGTTTACTGAGAAAATATGTAATGCAAACCTAGACAGGAACCGTAAATCAATCAATCATCTTTATGTGTCTTTGTACATAAAAACAAGAAATTGTGTCACATGTACATAATATCAATAACACAGTAGTACATAACATCACCTACATATACAGGATGGTTGAAAAGTAACTTGCACAATGCACACCCCCTTAACTTTTCAACCATTTGAGGTATGGTATTTGAAATCTGTTTGCGGCAACCTTCTTAGATATGAAGGGCTACAATAATTATGGTCAATTTTGAAAATTTTGCCCTTAGTGGGGGTAGGGGGTGGCTCAAAATTTTCAAATGGCAAGTATAGTCGAGTTTGGTATCATTTTACAGGTCTTGACGAAACATAAAAATTAACGTAAAGAAAACCTAAATCGGCCCACTAATAACAAAATGGCGCCCTAAAATGTTTTAAATCCAAATAACCACGAAAGTGGCTGAAAATTAACTTGCTCCCCCTTTAACTTTTTAACTATTTGATTAAGCGGAGCGAGCGAAGC